ATTAATATTAAAAATAAAGTCGATTTGTATAATTTTTATATAAAATAATACAATAAAAACACTTTTAAATATATTTTAAAACATAAATTAATTTTTTTTATAAATAATTTAATTAATTAAGAGTTTAAAAATAGGTAATGGAATGACAAAGGAATATGAAATTAAATTGTACACAGAAAAAAAGGGATTTAAAAAAATTAAATATCTTGACCCTATTAGTCAACGATGTAATTTCCCTTTAAATGTCATGCACTCCTTCGCACAAATGGTGGCAGAAGAAAACAATCATATAGAGACAAGAAAACCAAAATGGACGACCTGAGGCCGACTCCCCCCAACTCCACCCCTCTCACCCCATTAGGCTTCTTAGACAGAGCCGCCACCATCTACGGCGACTGTACCTCCGTCGTTTACAATTCCACCTCCTACACTTGGTCTCAAACCCACCGCCGCTGCCTCCAACTGGCTTCCTCCCTCTCTTCTGCCGGGATCGGCCGTGGCCATGTCGTCTCTGTTTTGGCCCCTAACGTCCCCGCCATGTATGAGCTCCATTTTGCCGTCCCCATGACTGGTGCCATCCTCAACAACATCAATATCCGTCTCGATGCCCGTACCATCTCTATACTCCTGCGCCACAGCGAATCAAATCTCCTCTTCGTGGACATCCTCTCGAGCTCTCTGATCTTGGAAGCCATATCTCTGCTTCCTCCTGAGGTAAAGCCACCTGCGCTTGTCCTCATCACGGACGATGATATCTCTCTTTCATCATCACCGTCCATCCTCGATCATTTCCAAGATACTTACGAGGGAATGGTGAGGAAAGGTGATCCTGGATTCATGTGGGTCAGGCCTAAAAGTGAGTGGGATCCAGTTGTACTGAATTACACGTCGGGAACGACGTCGTCTCCGAAGGGGGTGGTTCATTGCCACCGTGGTATCTTCATCAACGTGGTAAATTCTTTAATTGATTGGTCTGTACAAAAGCAACCGACCTACTTGTGGACCCTACCAATGTTTCACTCTAATGGCTGGAGCTTTCCATGGGGCATGGCGGCAGTCGGTGGGACAAACATATGTGTCCGAAAATTTGACGGATCGACAATATACGGCTTGATCAAGACCCATGGAGTCACTCACATGTGTGCTGCACCTGTGGTGCTGAACATGCTGTCAAACTCACCCCACGCTTATCGACTCAAAAGCCCAGTCCATGTCCTCACCGCCGGAGCTCCACCGCCAGCGTCCATCCTCTTTAAAACGGAGTCACTAGGGTTTTCAGTGACCCACGGTTATGGACTGACAGAAACGGGAGGGAACGTGGTGTTCTGCGCGTGGAAACAACAATGGAATCGGTTTCCGGCGACGGAACAAGCAAGGCTTAAATCAAGGCAAGGAGTGAGGACCCTCGGGATGACGGAGGTGGACGTGGTGGATCCCGAGTCTGGTCTCAGCGTGAAACGAGACGGGTCGTCACTCGGTGAGATCGTGATGAGAGGTGGGTGCATAATGCTTGGGTACCTAAAGGACCCGCAAAACACAAGCAGGTGTATGAGAGAAAACGGATGGTTCTACACCGGAGACGTGGGCGTGATGCATCCAGACGGTTATTTAGAAATCAAGGATCGGTCAAAGGACGTCATAATAAGCGGTGGAGAGAACCTGAGCAGCGTGGAGGTGGAGTCGGTGCTCTATAGCAACCCCGCCGTGAACGAAGCGGCTGTGGTGGCTAGGCCGGACGAGTTCTGGGGGGAGAGCCCGTGTGCGTTTGTGAGTTTAAGAGGTGATCTGAGGCAGAAACCAAGTGAGAAGGAGATAATAGAGTACTGCAGGGCGAGGCTGCCACACTTCATGGTGCCGAAAACGGTGGTGTTTAAGAAAGAGCTGCCGAAAACATCAACGGGTAAGATCCAGAAGTATGCGCTGAGGGAAATTGCAAAGAGCTTGGGTTCTTCGAAAGCCATCCCAAGCCGTATGTAACTAAAAGTACTGGCTAGGCCGACTATGTTAATGCTTGAATTGATTAGACACTACGAGTCAGCCAATTAAAAGTAATTTTTAGTATATTTTTATATATTTGCAAGTTGTATCGAAACTTATTCGAATTAATCATAATTTACTTAATTAAGTTGTGCAAGTATAATTTTCATGACTTTTGGGTTTTCGGTACAGGTTAAACTATATGTGAATATATATTTTTTTATAAAACAATTATTCGAGTCTAACTCTTTATAAATTTATTAAAAATAAACGAAGAGATCAATCA